TAGATGAGAATTAAGCCAATGCACAGAGAAATGAGGATTGAGAAACAGGGGGAGGAAGAGAGGGTGAGAGGGAAAGGGACAGAGAGAGGGAAACGGAGCTGTTGACATCCTCTGAGCCCTGAGTCCACCTATGCTTGGGGTGCGATCCTCTCTAACCCTTCTCAGTTACATGAGCCCATATATTGCTGTTTTATTTGGTTTTGTTCTGTTTGCTTATGGAGATGCTTAAAGTCAAAAATATTCTTGTAACAATGCCAGGACGACATCTGCCCTTTTCACTGTGTTGGGTGTGGCACGAATGATGCCAGAGACCAGCCTCTCCAATGGACAGACCGACTGGTAGTCGCTGCGTTCTTCACGCACGTGCACTAGGACAACCAACGAGACTGTCCTTGCTGAAGCAGTGAAAGCCCTTGAGTAGTCTTCCTTTTAGTACCCTGTGACAAAATGGGGGGCACACAGGAAGCACGTCTGCTGTGTACCTGAGGATGGCCGCTGTCTTGAGGCAAAGATTTTGGTTCCCCAAGCTCAGGGTCCCTCTCCTATGATGCAACCCACTGAGTGTGCAGGTGTCACCACTCTTCATGTCCTCGTGGAAACTGGTGTTCAGGGACCTGTGCAAAATGCTGACACTCTGGCCACTGCCACCGCCACCGCTGTGGAGTAGCACACTGAGCTTTGTCTCTGACCCGGAAGCCTCATGACTTCTGTTCACATCCGTGAACCTGGGGCAGGCTGACTTGTTAGCTTGCTAGTAGGCTAAAGTCTCCGGCTCTCCACAGGCCAGAAATAAGATGCACTTGCTGGTCACATAAAATTTCAATATTACTAATAGTACACATCAGGGATCAGCAAACTCCAGGCTGTGATCCACATTCAGCCTGCTGCCTGTTTTCGTGTGTCCCATGAGCTAAGAATAGTTTTTATTTTTTAAGATCGTTGTTATGTAAGTACCTATACACTATCCTCAGTTTAGCCTCTTGGCCTGCAAAGCCTGAGATATTTACTATCTGACCCTCTACAGAGAAGCCTTCCCACCCTGTCTGTATAGTTTGGGTCTCCCTACTCTTTCATGGCTCTGCTGTATCCGTACCTGGTTTGCTAATGGCCCTGGGCTGGGAGCACTTCACAGAGCCTAGATGGACAAGTCTGTGCAGATCTGCAGTGACAGAGACTATCTTTCTAAATATCTAAACAGATTCTTCTCCAGTGCCTCACACTGGGATGATAAATTCTGGTCATGAAACATAATTTGGGGCTGCTGCTGGCTACTATTCTGGAAGTAATAGTTCAAAAGTTCAAAAGATTCTCCCGCAAAGGAGGATCCCGCCGGCCAGTGATACGCAGATGAAAATGACACATGCAGTCCCCTGATGCTGCCTGTGTGTGCTGGCACTGGCGCTGGCAGCAGGTGCCGTGTTTCCTTCACAGTTCTTCAGGGCATCCCGATCATCTTGCTTTTCTAAAGTATGTTTTTTATGGCCTAAAACTGCTCCCCACCCCACCCCCAACAGAAAAAAAAAAGCCAACATCTACTTTAGAGGCCAATAAGCAGTCGATCCATGACTGCATCACGCTGCTGTGGCCTGGGTGGGGACAGGAAGCACCCTTCCAATTTCAAGACAAAGCTAATTCTATGACTGAGTGAAGCCAGTGTCACCACTTGCACTACATTTTAGCAGCTGTGTATATAGACTGTCAGGCTGAGTTCAGATCCCAGCCTGGTCTCTTCCTGGCCATGTGGCCTTGAGTAAGCAACTTCAGCTCTCCTTGCCTCAGGTGTCTCATCTTTAAAAGGTGGAAAATAAGTAGTGCCAACCTCACAGGGTGGTCGTGAGGAGCAGACAGAACGATACACACAAAATCTTTCAAATACTGCCCAGCACATGCTATTACTATTATTGTTACTGTCTAGGGATGACAAAGCAGCATTAGAGGTGGGACAGGAGGGCAGTTACAGTAACTGTGAAGACTACTTGGAGTGTTCCTCATCCCTTCCCTTCAATTTTCATTTGACGAACTTTTAAAAAAATTGTCTACTACATACCAGGTACTGAAAGACACATTCTCTGACCTCAAGATAGACACAGTACTTGGCAATACAAATTCATTCATTCAGCAAGTACCACAGATGTGGGTCGACAGTCCTAGGGTGGAGATAGACGTTAATTCAGTAAGTCACTGCACGTGTCTGACCACTCCCTGCACAGCTAGGTCAGATCTCCCCGTCAGAGAGGTCCTCCCGAAAGAAGGGATACTGAATCTGAAACTGCAAGTTCTCCAGAACATCTGGAAAGCAGAGAACAAGATGAGAGAGCCATGGGGATGGTGAAGTGGCCAGGGGCCAGATAACAGAAAGGAGGGTTAAAGCAGAGAGGTGACATGACCTGGTTTACCTTTGTAAAGGATCACTCTGGCTGCCCTGCATAGAGTGGATTGCACTGGGGCAAAAATAGAAGCAGGGGCGTTTCAGTAGTCAATTCCACCAGCCAAGAAAAGGAGGTAAAAAGGGTTGGGATGCAGAGAGTTGAGTGGATTTGCCACCTGTTTTGAAGGTTAAAGCAACAAGACTTGATGATAGATCGCACTGCACTTCTACGGAAGGCAGCAAATTGGAAAACACCCAGATTTTGGATTAAGCCTCTGAGGGGCTGGTGCTGCTGTTCACAGAGGCGGGGAAGGCTAGGGAGAAGCATGTTCAAGCATGTGTGGGATCGAGAGCTCTGTTCTGGTCACGTTAGCTTTGAGATACTTATTAGCCACACATGTGGCAATACCACATAGGATACTCAAGTCTGAGGCTCCGGAAGGAGGTCCAGGCTGAGATACGGCTGCGGGAGTCAGCCGCATATTATGGACTACGTGAGGTCACCTGGTGAGTGTGTGGATAGGAATGGGACAAGGAGGGAGCCTGGAACACTCCACCATGCAGTGGTCGTGCAGAGCAGGAGCCAGAAGGAAACTGGGCGGGAGTAACCAGGGACTTGAAGGAAAACGAGAAAATGTTTCAAGAAGCAGGGAGCAGGCAACTGTGCTGACTCTCTGGTAAGAACAGAAGTGCGATGGCAGGATCAAGGCAACGGTCTATGTGCAGTCTCAACCCAGTGGGGACAACTGAAGCCTTATGCAATGTGCTAAGGAGCGAATGTGAAGTGACTCTTGCATGAAGCTTTGTCATGAAGAGCAGTGGAAAACGGGCAATGAAGATGATGTCTAAGGTGGAATCTTGGAGGATGGGCAACAAGCAGTCGGTCAAGGAAAGAGCTGGGCAGGTAAACTCAGAATATGCAGACACTAGAGCAAGAGAACAGAAATGAAATAAACGTGCTTTCTGTGCAACACTTCTGGAAGTTTCTGTATGCTTTGAGGATTCTTAGAGCGGTCTAATTTAAATCCTGGAAGTTTTACAGTTACTTGGTTTGTTAAAGAGGCGGGAAATGACATAATCTGATCTTTTTTAGCTGATTGCTTTGGAGATAAACCTGGGCTGACCAAATGACTGGATTTTTTTTTTTTTTCTTATTAGTTACATTGATAAGAAATTCAGGACTGGAAAGGGGAAGTGTGTATTCATTCTAGGACATAACACCTTAAATGGGAACGGGCAGACAGGACGAAAAGAGAAAAGGGGGGGCAGTTTAAACATTTACAGCGTAACATCACAGGCTGTTCATAGTGAAGACATCTGCAGAACGGAGAGGGGGAGGGCGATGTCCCCCCTGAGACGTGGGGTCCTCTCTGTGACCGATCTGGCTTCCAGCCACAGCTGCACCCCACGTGGGCTGCGCGAGTCTAACAAAACCGCTATTCTCCTCTCTGCACTTGCTTTCCTCGCTGTAAATAAGCTGTCTGGGCTCGGTGGCCTCCCGGGTTGCTCCGACGTCCACGGGGACAGCAGAGCCACACACGGCGCGGCACCTGCGCCCGCGGACCGCCGAGAGGGTCAAGCGCCCCCGCCTCCGCGTCCAGGAGGGGGGCTG